CTGGCGGCCATATTTAACACAGATTTCGTAAATTATTTTCTATACCTTACATATTTAAGAGGTTTACAATACTTTACACTGGTTGCATGAATATCCTAATGATAAAATTTAAAAAAAAAATACGAAGAAAGTGGAACTTATTTCGAAGTATGATGTAGGTGCAAAATATTGTTTCTCAGATGCTTCAAGAACTAATTAACAAAATTTTTTCGATTAAACGGTTTTAGAAACTAAAAGTCAAGAATTAAGGACTTACAAGACCATGATTCTGCTTATCATTATTTCGGATACGGAATATGGTCAATTATAATTTAAGAAAAGAATAACGTCTAAACGTTGAGGAAAATTAAGTATTAGATTTGAAAAATATAGTAAGGGATCGATTGCAAAATGGAGACGGACATTCTAGGCGAAGATGGTGACACAGCCCACAAATTTAATTAATATTTAAACGGTAAGGCGAGTGAAGTGGGCGTATAACTTAACTAAGTCAGGTAATGTACTTATCACTAAAATGGTAATCATGGTCCCTTTTAACTTTTAACGTTCTTTTTCTTTTTACTTTTCTACCTGTGAAAGATCAGGACAGAGATATAAGCCTGATTTTATCAAAGCCAGCGGGGTTATTCGGAGGAAAACGTGTCAGCAATTCTTCTGGCATCAGTGTCAAACATTCAGGTTTAAAAATTTTTTTTTCATTACAAAGAGATTGTAAGAAATTATTGAACTTACAGAACTACCCAAAAGTTTTTATTTATTTATTAAAACTATTGTAATGTGTGGAATTTATATATCAACTATTAGATCCAGGTGGAACATTGACAATGTTATACAAGAAAAACTGAAATGCTGAGGAAAGTTATATATTATGGAGGAAAGGGGCGCTCGCCACTTGTAAGAATGAGGAGATGACGTGATTGCTGGGGTTGGGGAGAGGCCGAATGTCTAAGGCCGGCACTGAGTGAACAAGGTTGAGGAAGAAGGAAAAACGGACCTCAAATTCCGTGGTATTCGAAACGGTAGCGGAATATATCAGGATGAAATATGTTAACTTTCTGGAATCGTTAAAATACCGAACAAATACATTGCTTCTGTCACTGATACCAGCTTTCCCTCTGTTGAATCCGTTCAACATTAAAATGCTATCGGCACGTGGTATCCATAAGCCCATCTTGAGCTATTTCTTTCCAGTTATTCTCATGTATCTCTAAAGAATCTTTGTAAATTCGTTCTATCCATCTGGTTTTTGGCCTCCCACATAGTGTCTAACTTACTATTGAGGCATTCCCGATTCCCGAGTGAAGTATGGGGTAGGGTCATCGAACCTACGCCTGATCGATGTGAGTTGACTCCAGTAGGCTAACGGGTCTCACATACCCAGGGGGGAGGAATCATTTCTTAGTAGCGTGGCTTTTCTTGGTGGTCGGTCACCCATCCAAGTCTTGGCCATGCTCGGTGTTGCTTAACTTAGATTACCTATTACAAGCGCCTTAGCCCGCAAGGCCTCCATCCCTCCATTGTTGTGTAGAGGCTTCCTGATGGGCTGCTTCAAACTACATGTCACGCTTATCTTAACCTTGCCTTTTTATTATGAGATATTGATTGACCAGTTTTTGTAAGAACTGCTTTACAAGCCATACTCCTCCATGCATTAGTTCTCTGATCCCAGTTCCTTCCAATTATCGTGTTTAGAATTTTTTCAATATTTCTTTTTAGGTTGTTTGTTATTTCGTTAATAACGAAGAACTCCACTACTTTCATGTACATTTCAACCATCTCTAAACTGCCACTTTAATTATATTTGTTCTGTAGGTACAGTCCACGCAATCTAGGATGGTGAAACCATCTCAATTCCAAGGTTAATTCATTCTTTTTCCGTCCAAATATTCAACGTCAAAGTTTATTTTTAAACACTTAAATGCACTGTTTTTCCTTTATGTAAACGACCAGGTTTCGTACTCGTAAAGAACTGTAGGAAGTATGACAAGTTGGTTAATTACAACATTTACGTTTTCGAAAGGAATACGTGATTTTAACTTTGTTACTACGAAATAACAAGCATTAGCCGCTCAAGCATTTTGTTATATATTTTAGTTTCATTTGAAAATATTTCTTATAAACTAATTCTTTACTGGGGTTTATTATTGTAATAAAGTTATTTTTTTATCAGGGATAGGGGGAGTGGTTACATTTTTTATGAAACTAAAATTAATCAAAGCTTATCTAAGATTTTTTTTTTAATATCATCCTAGTTTTGGTGGTCGTAGCCATTCATCACTTTTAAATGAATCTGTTTATCGTGACCAAGCAGCTTTTGTTATAAATTTATAGATTTACTTTCTCTTGTTCATATTTCTATGAAAACCTGCATCCCAGCAGCTTATCAATGGGTTCTCTTTCATTGAACTAAATTGATGGGAGTAATGACGTGAAAGATTATTAATTTTTTTCCCATTATAAAATATCCTAATATTCTCGGATAAAATAATAAGTTCATAAGCCAAACGGATTGCTGACAATAAAATACCGAAGAAAATCTTTAGTTATTTTGATTAAATTTCTCCAAGCTATATTCCCCGCCCATCTTAACCCTCTAGCTTTCTTATCATGAGATATCGATTGACCAGTTTCTGCTAGCAGTTCTTTATGAGCCCTTCTCCTCCATGTATTAGTACTCTTGATTCCAGATCGCTCTGGTTACCTTGAAAAATATTTTTCTCTCAAATACTTTAATATTTCTTTCTAGGGTGTTGGTTAATGTTTATGTCACGCAGTCGTACCTCAGAACTATCTTTATCATAGTTTTGTACATTCTTAATTTGTGATTTCGAAAGATTTTTATGGATTGCAATACTTATTATCATATATTTTGTTTTTTCCCCTCATTTACTTGCGAGCCGATTTGCTCTGCTTCTCTTATCAGAGTATTAACGTTTTTCTCAATGTCCTCTTGATTTCGTCCAGGGACAGCTATCTCATCTGCATATTCAAGGATTTTATGATTCCGACGTGCCCCCCTCCATTTTCACCCTGATTATCACTTTCTCCAGCGCTAAGTTGAAAAGCATCGGTGAGAGTCATATCCTTGCCGCAAGCCAGTTCGAGCTTTGACTTCAGATATTTCTTCTCGTATTAGGACTCAGTATTTAGGGCCATTTGTACATACCTGTGTCAATCTCATCAACTTATGGAACTCTTATTTCCAGAAGAATGAAATTAAAGTAGTTCCAATAGAAATTATTAAGTTCCAAGAGAATAAAATTATTTCCCATTGATTTATCCCTTCCCTTGATCAACTGATTCCCTTGATAAAACATGAAATACAATGAACAATTTACCGTACTAAAATAAAGTTGAAAACAACTCTGTACACGAAAAATTAAATAGAAATGTATGAGGGAGAAGTACGAAGTAGTTATGAAAAAATAATATGTTTATTGAAATATGGACAAAAACATGTGTAGGAATAAGTAACATTTTGAAATAGATCACACTACTATTTTATTTATTTATTTATTTCCACCCTCCCATGCCACAATGGCAATACGGGTGTTTGCAATAGTGTGTTTTAGGCATGAATACTTAATAACACACTACTACTAGATATGCACATATATAGTTCTTCTGTTTTATCTTCTTCCTTCTTCTTTCGGCCTAGCTTTCAGAATCTGGAGGTCTTCCTGGAGCTTGTCCCCTTCTTCTGCGAGCACCAATATGGAAGTGAGCGGGCCCCACTGCAGTCTACTAAAGTTGTATTCACGCTGACTGTCGGATAAAGGCCATCCACACACTTTCATCCTTCCACTCTATTTCCCCCAATCTTCCTTTGATATACCATCAATTACTGGTCAAGATATAGGATATAACTTATCTCCTCTGAGAAAAGCAATGTGACCTTGAACAAGTACTTTTCTTTCTGCGTTTGCTCTGTAACTATTTGTGAGATGATATTAACGGATAGTTAAATCAATCAAATTTACAAGTATACTCAATAAATGGTTGTGGATACTGCTTATGGTTGGGAACAAGATCATCATCAATAAGATTACCCTTTAAATGGAGTTCTAAGGAAATGCCTAGTACTAACGAATTCAACGCCATAATATCGTTTTATTTATAACGCGATTTAGGATTTCTGAAAACTTTCAATTGCTCCTCTGCAGTTGAAATGGAGGCCTTGAATAACTTTAATTACATTGCTGATATTGAGTCCTCTTGCTCAAAAGGTGTAAACAAACTCTCAACTCATCTTTTTCAGCTGAGGTCGAGACCTTACCAGTAGGCTCGCTCACCACCATGCGTTCCATCATTTATATTATGATTATGGGATGTTGTTCCAAGCTCTCAAAGTGAAGAGCACTTGTACCTACTACTAGAGAGATTGTTTTCTTACTAGAGGGAAGAATATGGTACAACTGTACAAATGTTATGAATAGAGGAAGATTGCCATGTTCTCAATATAACCTCCCTTTATTTATACGTGATTTAAGACATCGGCAAACCTCTAACTGGTCCTTTTCAGTTTTTTTTTCTCTCTTTCCTCGCCTTCTAGGCTATATGGGTTTTTTCCGGGCTAAGGGTGAGGGCAGAGGTTTAATGCCAGAGTTAAAAGTCCCTCTGGTCACCGGGACGCGAACTCGTGTAATTATTTTATCAAATTATCTTTGATCCGGGTTGCCGAGCAACACACTGTGCTGTCAACACGCATTAACCATTCGGCTTTCTCGCCCCTTGATCCTTTTTAGTTGAAATGTGGCGTTAATTAGCTTTAATTACATTGCTGCTTTCGATTCCTGTTCGCTACATTCACCAAAAAAGAAATAAATAAACCCCCCAACTGGGCCTTTTCAGTTGAGTTCTGAGTCTTAACAAAGGTTCAGCCGCTTCCATGTACTTCCGAACAAACTCGGTCATTCTCGGCATTTCAATAAAAGAATCATCATGGAAAATGGTATCATTATTCACAGATATTCCTTTGTAACGCATTATTCCACAATGAATCCAACACTTTTGCTACTATCTCTTTGCATTTGCCGCTCGAAAACATATTTCAACTTGACAGAACTATGGGAAGGTTATAGTAACAAACGTTATGGCTTCTGAGTCGTTTGTGAAATGGAGAAGTATGTAATTTAATATAAAATCTCCATTCTTTCGTAACAGTTATTATTAGCAATAATGTCTTTCAGAAAAAGCGATTCTGATGCAGAACATTCACTTTGGTCTCAGGACACAGAGCTTATCAGTGTACCTTCAGAAGAAAACAATCTATCCCTTGAAATTAGTTCAACAGGTACTATAATTGTGGACTTTCATTTTATTCATATGATTAATTTTTGTATGGTTTATAAACAAATATGTACAGATCAGCATAATGTCAAAAGTTAGTGAATCTATTGACCTTAACTGTGAAAGTAATCAGGGTTGGATCTCAGTTTTTGTACTAAAGGGTTTATTCTATAGTGAACGTTTTTTGTAGTATTAAGTGTAAGTACCCAAGACTCATAAGGTGTACAAGTTCTTGTGTAGTTAATCATTTGTCTTATAAATTCACCATTTTGTTTTTCACAATGCTTAGGACTGAATTTTTAGGATATATAAGGTTTTTGCAAGGCTTCATAGCTCTAACCTATCTATAAGTCTTATCAATATGTTGTTAGTAGTGAATACGTTAGTTAAAAGTAATTAAAGTTATTTAAAAAAAAAAAATGTGTGTAGTTTACCGTTAACCTAGTAAACTAAATGTAGCCACTCTAAAATATTTCTATCAGATTTGACTTTACTAATCAAATGAAGATCTTATTTGATTGACAACATACTTAGACTGTATTAAACAATTATCAGTAGTCTGGGAATCGTCCTTCAAAAAGTGAGAAAGTTTTTATCACACCCCCAATGGTCTCTTCAATTCAATGTATGTTACACTGATGATATGGAGTGATCCTCAGTTTTAAATCTGTCCTGTTACTCTTACAGGATATCACATCTTGAGGAATTGTCTTGGGTATACAAGAGATAGGGGAAATATATAGTATTCCTCATCATATCCGTAAAAATCATAGAGCAACAAATAACATTCTACAAATGATTTGATAACAAGTTAATGGGCTACTTTTAGAAACAAAAATTTAGGAACATAACATAACATATCTTCAGTTTTGATTATTATGCATCACAATATAATTGCCCAGTTCAAATCAGTTAGGTCATTTTAATCTTTCAAGTGAGCATATAAGTTGATTATCGTAATCTTCCCATAATTGTGATAGTTAGAAAATTCAAGTTTCCATATTTGTTTTTGTTTTTTTAATAGCCTTCCATAGACCACAAGTGTTTATTTGTGAATTGATAGGTTATCCTAAAGGGAACCAACTTATTCGTGTGAGAAAGTCAAGATTCATTCCTTTGATCCACCATGAAATAAATATCTACCATCCCAAGCTGGATTCAAAACATTACCACTTATGACTTAAGGCTACTTAGGAGATACTTTAACTCTTGGCAACTATAGCCACTGAGACAATAGTTGTTTATTTCCGTTTGGACTAGAAATTAACAAATCTTTAACTGATTATTGATCTATGTTGTCGCGATTAACAATACATCGGTGGTTAACAGTTATGATTGAATATCGTGTTTGTTAATGCTTTACTTTTGAAATAATATATCTAAGTTTCATGTGATGTATTTAATAAAAATTATTGTTACGGTTTTAAGTTAATTTTGATATTTTCTAAAAAAAAAAACTATCAATACAACCCATGCAGGGTCTTGGGTTCAGTGCTATGTAAGGAAGTACTTTTTCTTGGTCAATAGTTGTGGAAGGAGGTAATTTGACTGTGATTGTGCTAAACCTTCTGGTTTTCACCCTTAATTAATAAAGAGAACCCACTTTATAAAGACTGGATGTGCCCCAAGAGAGTCGCCCAACTTCAGGGTTGATCGACAGCTGATGAAACAGAAAAATAATTACCTGCCATCAGCAGGATTTGAGTGTTGGAAGTCTATCTCTTACCCATTGAGCTATCCCATCCTCCATATTTCTAATATTTTCTAAAGCATAAATAAATATTGATTTTACTCAAAAGTTCTTTTTTTGTTTCAGCTTTACCATTGGAACCAGATGATTCAGATCAAAGTGGAAGGTAAGTTATTATAATTAATATTTGTATATAGTCATTAAAAAATGATTAGTTGGCATTAATTTGGGCAATAAATCAGTTGGAGCATAGTATTACTTATACCATAAGTGGGGCGATATCCTGTCACCGAGAATGGGCCTCTTCTAAAAGTCTTCACCAGTTTGTTCGGTCATTTGCTGCAACACTCCAGTTTTGGACTCCAAGAAGAGCCTGTGCATCTGCAAAGACAGAGTCCATCCATCACACGTTCGGTCGTCCATTTCCTGTAGAGCTCTTCGGTAAGGATTATTTTCGGAATCTTGTTGGCAGCCATCTTTTGCACATGTCCTGCCCATTGAAGTCATCCGAGCTTCGTAAATTTTACTATGTCAACAACGTTGTCAACAGATCCGAAAATCCTTCGAAGAATGCTCTTCTTGAAGACAAGAAGCCTGGACTCATCCACCTTCGTGGATGCCCATACCTCTAATCCGTAAGTGACGACTGGGCGGACTAGGGTCTTGTAGAGCTTGATTTTGGTCCGGTTAGAGAGCATGCTACTTCTAAAATGTTTAGCAAACAACTTGGCCAAGATCCCTAGAAGCATCTTCCAGAGCCAGAAATGATTCTTGTAGGGCCTGTTCCAATCTGGTAGCAATATCAAAATCATCCGCATACCCCAGAATCTGGACTGTGCTATTAAACAGTGTAGATTGGAGTTGGATTCCAGACTTCTTAACCACTTTTTTTTCCCTACAAAATTAAAAAGGAGGATTTAAAAGCGTCTCTCTGCCTAATACCATAATTTATGAGAAAGGGGTCAGAAAGATCTACTCCCACATGCTCCAAAGTTACACTGTTTCCAAAGAATACCAGAGGATCAAGGTCCTTCCACCAAGCACTTTATCAAGGCTTTACTGAGTTCCCTGGAAGCTAGCTCAAAACATGGTTTGTCATCAGAGATGTTCTCTATCATCTATACCAGTTATTTATTCTGGTTATTATATTCAAATTTCTAATGATAATTATAGAATTTTCTTCATAATTTACAATTTTTAGATATTTTATTCTTCCTTCACTCTGTTGCAGGTAAAATTTCATCGATAAAACTTTTCGGAACTTATTAATTTGTTTTATTTTGTTTGTTAGGAATGTTCCTTCCACCACTGCGTGCTCAACTCCGCATGAAAGGTATTTACATATTCAGCCGTTTAAAATAAATCAAATATGTATAAATTTAAAGTAAAATAAGAAACATTATTTCAAATGTCTTGGTCTTTTTGTACAGTAAGCTAGCACTGAGTGCAAAGCGAAGATTTGAAAGTTCATCAGAAGACCTAAGCCCCAGAAAAAAGAAGACAAAGGGTTCAATAAGTCCTGTCCGTAGGTAAGTTCATAAAACTTCAACAGTTTTTATGCATCTTTAATACAAATATTTGTGAACATATCATACACTCATATTTTGAGAACATGGTAGCTAAGAGTGCTGACGTATCATAACCTTTGCAACCTTGTTCGTAGCGACGCCTGTTCAATTCAACCCAGAGGGATTGTAATTTATTTATTAGTGGATCCATGGTATAATAAAAAAATAATAAGTTTGATAAATTCTGTTCTGTCAAATTTTGTTACTTATGAATGTACAGACTATAATACATTAGAATCTTCAAAAATTTCCACCTTTATTGATTCCATATTTAGATAAGTAATCCATGCTTAAGTAACTCTTGAGCTAGCATAAGTTTAAGCTTAAATAGGGCATTATAACTCAGCTAAAGCATCTACAGCAATTTTTTTAATTTTTTTTATTTATATATAAGTAATCGAAAAGTTCATATTTTTAAAACAATTTACTAAATATTGATTTTTCTTTTTTTACAGACCTGCTCTCTTTAGCTCTTCCAATGGAACAGAATTCACGAATGGCTCAGATAGTGGTATGTCTTTTTAGAGATTAGTTAAAATAAAATTTAAAATAGCATTAAAAAATAATAATAGTTTAATTATTATTAAAAATACAAATTAATTTTTAACAATATTTTTATTATTTTAAAACAAAGAAGCTGCCCTACCTTAAAAAAAAAATTTCCATTCGGTTGGCAAATTTTTTTTTGAAAATTTTAATGTTTTTACTTTTATGAACATCACTTGTATTGTATTCTTATATGAATGTATTTATTATGTTGGTTTTTACATATATTTTTTTCAATGGGTTTTTATTCCATACATTTACGAGTGGAAAAAACAAACCTAATGATAAATATGTTCAGTAATATTACTTCTACTTAAAATTGTTTAATCTCTTTATTTTTTAAACTATGAAAATATAATTTGCAAATGTAGAATTCTTCCGCATTTTTTTATTCGACCATAGCCAAAACTCAGGGATGTCTAACACCATCATTTTAAGAGATTGCTATATTATTACAAAAAAATGCATGTTACCTCTCTTTGAAGATTGTTATAATATTTTAATCTTTCCAATAATTTTATTACTCAATTGTTATTCTCCTTTGTTTTTTTCATGTTTTTTATATTTATTACAGAAATTACAAGTGGGGGAATGAATATGAATCTTCATAGTATAAAGAAACCCGAAGTTATTTATGCTAAAGCTAGTTCTTCTGATTTATCTGCTGAGGTGAACATATTTGTTTTATATAATATATAATTATAATATATATATATATATATATATATATATATATATATATATATTATATATATATATATATATATATATATATATATATATATATATATATATATATATATATATATATATGTATATAAAGTTTTATAACCTTCTTTTTGAAAAGTGTATTTCAACAGCCATGTAGCTGAAAGAAGCCTTTAAATTCAATAACACAAAATATTCAATAACAAATCAAAAATTATTCACAAAGAGAAATCAATAAATCCCTCCGTTAGAAACTGCTAATTCGACATAAGTATTCTTCTGAAGTGAAAAAAATAAGGTTATAGCTGATTACTTTGCGAACATTAAAAAAAAAAAAAGAAAATCAGTTACAAAATACCAATTAAACAAAAAAAAAAAAAAAAACTATTGACAATTACGTCTCTCAAATACACATTCCCAACGGATTTCAAACACACTTCCCCAGTAGAAGTCACGACTCTCATCAAATCCCTCAACATTAATAAATGACCGGGCACTGTACCTACAATTTTAATAAAAAAAACCTCTCCAAAAATGCAATACTACATATTACAAAAATTTTCAATAGTTGTATACGACTTAAATAATTACCTATACATTGGAAAATTGCTGAAGTTATCCCACTAGCTAAACCACATAAAGATTCTGAATTACCAGCCAGCTATAGATCTATTAGTATTCTTAGTATATTTTCAAAATTATTTGAAAATATCATAAAACACCGCTTTAACCAACATGTAGCAAATAACAATATATTAATAATTGAACAATTTGGATTCTGACATTACCACTCAACCACCAGCCAACGACATAGATAATGTAACCAAAAATTTCATTGATCCTCATTGATATTGAAAAAGCATTTGACACTGTAACAACTATTGTTAATATATATGTTAATATCCACATGTTAATATATAGTTAATATATAGTGCTATTTGCCGATGATACAGCATTATTCTCGTCCACATACCGTATAGATACCATTATCAATAGACTCACTAACTCTTTCAATAAAACATCTAAATACCTAAAAAAATGGAGATGAAAATGTTACATAGAAAGAACCGAAGCCATTATTTTTACAAGGGAGGTTCTATAATCCCGTCGAACATAATATTAAATGACGACGATTTTGCTTGCCAAATCACTTAAATATTTAGGTGTAACACCCGACAGTTAACTATTTAATCAGCACATCAATTCAAAATTGGAAAATGCCCGAAAAATAATGTATAAAATGTTTCCATATTTTAACAAAAAATCAAAACTTTCATCCAAAAACAAAATAATCCTATATAAATCTGCAATAAGACCAATTTTAACATAAGCCTGCTCCATATAGAGCTTCACTAATAGAACGAACATAAAAAAAAAAAAAAATAATAATAATTCAAAATAAATGCCTTAGAATTATCAATAATTATCCCCATTATACCAAAGTAATTAAGATGCATGCAGAGTTAAACATGCCCTACATGCAAGATTATATTTACAAAACAACCCTAGCCTTCTCTCAATCTCAAAAACACTCATTAAATCCTTTAATAGTTGAAATAGGAAATATATTCAAAAACATCAACACCCAAATATAAACATAAAAGAACGAAGCACATTCTACTCTAAGTTAGTGTATATTTTATTTTAATGTAAATAGTATTGGTTTTTTTTTTCCACGATGTTTATTTTTTACCAATAGTTTTAATTGTAAATATTGTGTATTTATAAAACTATATTGTACAAGGGCACATACCCACAGCAATTGTTAACTTGTAGCTGGAAAATATGAAAAAATAAATTATATATATATAATAATAATAAGGCTTAGCGAACCTGAAGGTTCCATGCCGATTCCACCAATTGATGTCCATATTCTTCCATCCACTGGGCTCTGTCAAAACCCAACCCCGCCAAATCAGACTGAACGCAATCTACCCACCTTCGCTTTGGTCTACCCCTCGGACGCTTGCTTGTCGGTACAGCGCATATTAACTTTTTAGGAATTATTTCCTTAATAAGCCCAGCGAATTACATGTCCATTTTATTCACCTCAACTTAATCACCTCAATTATATTAACCGGATACAGTTAATACGCAATTCAGTGTTGTGTAACTGCCTAAATTCTCTGGTTGACTCGCCCTTCTTTGGTCCGAATATTCTGCACAATACTTTATTTTCAAAAACCCCAAGATGTTCATCCCTTAATGTCGCATAAACAATAAAGAACTGCAGGTAGGATAATGGTTTTGTAAATTTTAATTTTTAAGTTTCGGGCAGGAGGCGAGAACTAAGTAGTTTTGATTAAGGAAAATAACAAGCACTTCCCGCCATCAGCCTAACCTTAATATTCTCTTCAATTTCCCCTCTTCAAACACATTTCCCTCTATATAGATATCATCGAAATCGTTGCTGTTTTCGCAGCTAACCATATATTTTGTCTTCTCCGTATTTATCTCTAGTCCTAGTTCTTTACCAACTCCCATCAAAGTTGTTGTATTTAGTTTTATTGTGCCCATGTCTTTGCTTATCAGTACCAAATCATCAGGATGCCCATGCACGGATATTGTTCCACCCAGGTTCAAACTTTTTTCGGTATGTATCACCTTTCTAATGGCATGTTCTAATACCTAATTAAATAGGACAGGTGAAAGAGAACTACCTTGTTTTAAGCCCGACCGAACCTCACATTTCTCGGATAAATAATAGCCGATTCTAACTTTAAATCATATATATATATATATATATATATATATATATATATATATAAAGAAAATATTCAATTGATGAAAAACTGCATGTCTTTTATTTAATAAACTTGAAGTTTTGATTTAGTATATACAGCATACTTGAGAAAAAGATGAACTATTCTAAGTAGCTTTGTAGGCTTGTAATTTTAAAAATGTGTGAGGATAAGATTGACGTAAAAAGAAAACAATATTGTCTAATAAAATTGTGCTTATAAGCTTTTGCAATGTGGCTGTCAATTTCAAATTAGTTAAATCACTTTATTTATTTTTTTTAATAATGATTAATTTACATTAATACAAGAGTTTTCATTGTAAAAATAGTAAATATTTAATTTTTAATGTAATGTTATTTTACAACAGTCGTCAAACCAGAAATCAGACTCTCAAGCCAGTACATTTTTAAAAGCCATGTCTCCTCCGACTACATATTTAGAAAAAGTGAAATCATTTAAAAAGGTATTTTATATATTCTTAAATCATTTTATGTATATACTCACATTTCTTCATTTATGCAGTGTAGTTTTGTCTAAAGATATAAAATTATGTGCTGGATTTATTTATTTTTTTAAATATTATGTGTATCGTTATTAACAACTATTCTCTCTGTCAAGAGTATCAGCCCATCATTTAAACTGACATAAGTATAATTTGCTTGAATAACTTAACATGAAGCTTGTAAGTAAGTCCAAACAGGCCATTCTTGATTATTAACTTGGTTCATCATTAATTTATCTAGTTTTTTTTTAATTTCTTAACTGTGTAAATAACTGTACTTTCCTTTAAAAAAGTTTTGTAATCTAATTTCATGCTATTTTGAATTTAAAGCCATAAATTGGCTTGTGCATACTTTTCCAGCCACTGTACTCCATCTTTGCATAAAACCTATTTCTGTAGAACTGCTACTCAGTGTAAATTTAGGAATATTTGTATTTTTTTTACACGTGTGTTTACTATAATAATATTTCTTTAATATCACTATGACCTTAGAAAGATCAGGATAAAGAACCAGCGGCGAAGGAAAGTAAAATTAAGCATTTCACCGAGGAATTTGTTTGCTCAATTTCTTATACCATAGATGAAATGAAGAAAGACTTAGTATCTCTTAATATTAAAGAGGTAAGTAATTTTTTTTTCCATTGATTGTTATAAAATAAAATCTCAATAATTTTCGAATACTTAATAGTTGACCGTTGTATTTTAGAGGAGGGAGATGGTCCAGGTTGGCGGTCATAAATAGACTAAAATAACGGCAAAACTATTTAATTTCAAGATAACGTTTCAATCCGACTTTGTAGGTCTTCTTCAGGGAGGTGTGTTCAGCAAGGAGTGTTAGTTAAAACTGAGTTGAGTTGAGTTTTAACTAAAACTCCTTGCTGAACACACCTCTCTGAAGAAGACCTGCAAATTCAGGTTGAAACTTTGGCTTGAAATAAATAATTTTGCCATTATTTTAGTTTATCTATGACCGCCACCCCAGACCCCACCTCCTTCCTCATCAATAATTTTCAAACTTTTATAGATTTATTTATTTTTTATTTTATTTTTTTGTAACATTAAAATTCTCAAGTGAAATTTGCAGCTATTTTAAAAAAAAAAAAATTCAGTTTGGTTCCCTTGCTTAAGTTAAATGAATTTTTTCTCATGGTTATATAAACATCTTTTTCATGATTTCCAACTAATAATTCTATTTATTCTGACAGAATTTTCCGCTCTTGGCTTTTTGACTGAAAGGCTTCCGAGAATTTAGTTCGTACATCTTTTTCTCTCTTTCTAGGAGTTGTTACAACCCATCATTTATAGTATTTCGGTCAGTTCATCTTCAGTTCCAATTTTGCTTATTATAATTTTCAATGGCGCTTTACCAATTTTATGAATACAGATATATTTCATTATCACTTTTATGATATATATTTTAATTTTTCTAGGTTAGCAGACCTCTGTGCGATTCAAAAAATGCTTCAAACAAGTTATCTCTATCTAGTGGAACGCTTGCTGATATATCTGGATCTGATGGAGGAAGTGGCCATAGGTATAGTTTTGTTTTATTTCTTTTATGTCATTAAGATAATAATATTTAATGGCAGTAAGAATTTACTTAATTAAATCTTAATTTTGTATTAAAAAAAAAATAAGTTTCAGATATTTAGTTATGGAACAGTGGTGTTTGTGAAGCTAATTCAAGTAATATTCCTAAAAAAAAAAAAAAGTATTTTTTGACTAATTTTATTCTAATGAAAATAATACTTAAATAATTTTTCCTTGAAAAACGCTGCAAATTATTACTCAATGGTTTATTATTTCCAAACAATTTAATATTACTTTCCATGTAACATTAAAGAAAATAAATAAAAAGGTATTCCTAACATTGGCCTATATAATTTTATTTTTTATTATTGATAATTTGCTTTAAAAAATAGACAACATTGCTATATATTACCACCCCTCGTAACTTTTCTTCCAGCTTCTTTTCGTTGAAGTACGTTATATAGATAAATTTAAAGGTACAAGAAGACTTAAGCCAAGTTTCGTTGAAATCGGTACATGCGTTTAGGCGCTACAGTCTATACCAACACAGATTTTTTGGCTGCCATCTCAGAAGGAAAGGACGGATAGTAATGTCGAGATAGGACCTTACCAAATTTGGCATCAAAATCCTCGGGTCGACCTCTGACTTTGATACCAAATTTTAAAATAAATCGGCCCAGTTGTCTCGGAGAAAAGTCCAAGACGTATTGTAAAACGTATAACTTCAAATTTTGAGGTGTTAAGTTTTTGAATTTTTTGGTCGATTACAATGGTTCACTATTGAAAATAATAACTGAAAATTGCAATTTAACAGAAAAACTGAAATTGATCCCATGATTTTTATGTTCAGGGAGTAATTTCTCAATTTATTTATAGTACTCTAATATTTAATGAATAAAGTTCTAAAGCCTTTAAGTTTAATTATTAACACAATAAAACGGCTGCATTTTAATTTTTAAAATAAATGAATCAATTAATTTTAGTGCAATTTTTTAATATAAGGTTATTTTAAACAACATCCCATTCCTCCTCTGTCCATTTGTATTATATAAAAAGTTTTGTTATTAGTTTTTATCCTATGTCATTGATTTCAGTGGTATTGAAAAATTCACCTTGCCTCCAAAGCTGTCGATAACATCAACTAGCAGTATGTCATCTGTATCCAGTTCTTCATCATCATTGCCAAGCACTGCAAGTATGTTTAAGATTTTTTTTTAAATATAAATATTCAACATATACTGGGCGAGTTCTAAACCCAATGAAACGTCTAATGAATGTTTCCGAAAATTTATAAAAGAACCATCTTTATCTTTAAGAATTTGAGTTGGACCCGAAAGAAGCATCCTTCAGGAATTAATTTCAAGATGCACTTGATCAGTCAGAGACGAAGTATAACAAAAATCACGATGTAATTCTGAAAATGGTCAAATATTGACAACTTGTTTGTGATTATAACCTATCGTTATTTAAATTGTAATTTATGACATATTTAAACTCTTAATGGTTCCTCTTCTGTTAAAATCAGTTTCTTTATCAGCTTTTATGAGATTCTGCTTGTTACGCTCACTCAAAAGAGATGGGCAACTTTCCTCTTCCCTGTTATCCCTGAATTTAAGTTAAAAAGATAATGGTCAAAGCTTCGGAAATTATTCAAAACTTGAATCAAGATAATCACAATCATATCCAGGAGTCAGAATTTGATAAATCAAAACGATTTTAAAAACAATTACTCGACCTTATTGTTTAAATTTCATTTAATTGTATGATTATTTTTAAAATCTGACTATATATGAGAGAAATTTATAATTCCATATGTGCTTGTTTTAGGTGAAAATTTTCTAATATTATAAAATAAAGCTGTGTTTATTTCTTTACCATATTTATTTCAAATTATATAGCTACATTTCGGCTGGTAAGCCATCTTCAAGCCATTTTATCCAACCATGCTTTTTGCATGTAGTCCAAAGTCAGATTCCAGAATCAGGTAGTCCAGATCACATAAATCTGACTTTGGACTACATGCAAAAACCATGGTTGGATAAAATGACTTGAATATGGCTTACCAGCCAGAACCTAGCTATATAATTTGAAATAAATATGGTGAAGAAATAAACACAGCCTTATTTTATAATATTATGAAATTTATAATTTCACTGCACGCTTATTTTAGTATTTTTCTAGAACGTGTGATATTTATAAACATATTGTAGCGGCGACAGATTCTCGTGGCAACAATATTATATGAAAAAAAAAAATGAATCCAAGGAGGAAATCTTCAAATTAAGTTATTATAATTCAAGATATATATTTTTTTTAAATTGAGCATAACAAGTACATGATTTTAAATCTGTCAAATTGACTATAAGTTAAGCACAATTAGTATATAAACTTGATGAATATATGCATGCACATATTTATTAAATAGATTATTAATTTCTTCCACTTACTTGCAGATAAGCTTCAGCATTCCTTGAATAAATTTCTGGTCCCTCAAGTTTTGGAGCTGAAGAAGCAGATGGATTACAGATGCAAGAGTAACGTCTGCCAATGTTTTTGTTCGAAGTTCGTGGCTTGTTTATTGAAACAACACTTGCCTTCAAGATGCATCACTCCTGAAATGTAAGAATAAATTATGACTCTTAGGTCTCTGATATCATATTTAATCTATAACTTATGGCCAAGGGAATATCGTAATATAATGGTAATAGTAATAGGAAATATCGTAATATAATAGGGAATTTGCTGTTCATGTATGTTCAAGCCCAATAAGAGGGGACAGCCAAGGCAATGATCCTGGGGTCTGAGGCTCGAAGGGAACCAGGTCTAAATGTTCAGGAATTGTTTTATACTTGATAATTTTTTCTAACAAAACATTACATATTTTATAATAATTACATAATATCTATAAATATTCTTTTCTGTCGCATACATTTCATAGTAAGAGATTGGGTTTCAGTGTTGAATTTAATATTTAAGAGGGGTCTGGAAAAATTTGTCCATGGATTGCCTAATTTATTTGAATTTTTGAACTTGTTGCAAAGATAAGGTTGGGAGCTAGATGCCCCTGTCCGTGTCTGATACTCTACTTTTGTTCGGCAATACTTTACCAAATCAGTTACAGCCTCGATTTTTAGAACAATCAGTGTATGGTGGTTGGCCATACATAATTTCTCACTACTTTAATTTAAATATATATTCTTTGCTATATGTCCGACATTATAAATGTAACAACAATAAAACAATTAGAACTTTTACTTTTGAATGATGTTTATGATCATTATTATTTAATGGTAATAATCATCCAAAATCACTAATATTTGTTTTTAGTAGATCTTATTTAATTTCATTTTTTCTGTTTAGGTTGAGCAGTTCATCTGAAAACATAAAAACCGATTCGCAGGAATTCATGGATGGACAGCAAGTAAGTTATATTATTTTTTTTTTAATTTTATCAAATTTTAAGATTCCATTGGCGGCTTGTGTTGAGCAATATTTTTTTGTTGATAAACTAAATAGGCTTTTATCAATAAATTAATTAGTTTATTCTTTCATAACCGAATCCCAAGTAGTCTTCATTACTTACTCAGGCTAAATTCAAGATTACTCAATTTCATCATTTTTTTTTATGTTGTACTTGGCAGTTGTGAAAAAGCATTAATTATTGTAAGAAAGGAAATATTTCAGAGGATCTTATTTGGAGATAATAGCGTGTAACATCTGACTGTTGAAGTAATCTTAATTTATATTATTGATAAATGATCAATAACTATAAACTTAAGCAAGCAATTCTGAGGGTTTCATAAATTAGAAATAGAATTATCCCCACATATATTATTACAATAAGGCTTGAAATCGGTATTGTACCAAATATAAGCTCCTGTCATGCTCAAATACCATTAATGGAATGCCGTTGGATTCAGAATTTCACGGAGGGTTAGCGAATCGTATTCTCCACTTTGTTTTTCTTTCTAAAATAAATAAAGTCGATACAAACATTTTGCTAGGCTTCAATACCTGAACAGTGGTAGGTCTGTAGATCGATACGGGACAAATTGGATCTAGAAGATTTTGATGCGTACAGCAAGACCTGGATAGTACCTCTGGAACTATCGCATCCTGCATTTTTAAGCCCAAAAACGTACTATTTTCGAGATAACGCAAGGCATAGGGTTCACATCAATACAACCTTACGTTAATTGTAGTACTGTTATTGAATACATGTCTCATTTTGTCAACTTGAGGCCTCTATGATCGAGAGAGGAGGAGTTTATATTATTCATCGATGCTGTTTTTGATTGGCAAGCCATATCATCGTTAATTCTTCACCTAATCTCAAGATTGAGCCACCAATTTCGAAGGCTTCCTTCTCCTTCAGGCGGGCAAAATAGTCCAATCACTCTAAAAATTCAGGCAAACAAGTTATGAAAGAAAACAAACTTTATTTGCGAATAACTAAGAAATTAGACACTTTTCCCTGGGTTATGCCCATGCTTATATAAAAGATTACTAAATTCTCTACAAAAAAAAAAAAAAAAATCATCGAAATTGAACAATTTTTAGTAAAGATACAGCTTATTGAAATTTATAAACATGTTGGTTTCGAACATAATGAAGATTTAAATTAATTTTTGTTTCCTTTGTCAATTATATTTATTGATAAAGTAATAATTGATTTTTTTATCTTTTGATATGTTGCATTATTTTATTTTCTTATTAATTTGGCATTTCATAACAATATGCTGTGCGAATTTTTCTCACGGGCCTATTAGTAATTATAAAATACAACTAATTTTACATGAATAAAATTGCTTCTCAAATTTTCTCTGTAACTAATTCCATTAGTTATTAAAATCAACGATTTTGCAGAAAAATAAATATATTTTTAACAACTCATATTACAAATATTTTGAAACTAGACAAATTTTATTATCTTTCATAATTTGCTTATTCTATCCAATTTTATACTCCCTTTATTATAATTTTAGCTCTTTTCTTTATACAGTTCTTCAATTTCGAGCTTTAAACGTTAAATTTCTTTTAATTTTTCAGGAAATTACCAACAAACAACTTCTTAAAAAGCATAAATCAGATGTTCCAGTTATATCTGAGGAAGTTTCTGATGAATCCAAGTTTCCGTGTAACAGCAGTCAATCAAGTATATATGTTCCGTCTTGTAAGTTTAATTTTTTGTTTTATTCTTCTTTTTTGCATTTAAGAAATTTTGAATTTATACAAAATTATTTGTTTCTTCATAGAAATTAATTTTATTTATTCCACTATGAAGTTATTGATGAACGAAATAATAAGAAAATTAGATTTTTATTTTTTAAATTCTTTTTTTAAAGGCCTTGCTTTTAAAACCCCTTCGTATAGAGTGTGATATGTCTCGGTTAAGCAATATGACAATATAGTTGTATTACAATCTACTGCATTATAACAGTCACACAGAGCGCAATAATCCACAGCAATACCGACAAACGGTATTGTATCACTGGGACATATTGCCTTCTCTGTGAAGGATTTTTAAAAGCAAATTACATTAGAAATGAAACTATAAAATTCATACAGTGTTAATTAACTGATTTTTTAGTGTAGGTTTTATGTGCCTATTTTGTCTAGGTTTTTTACTTTTACTTATCTATATATGTAATGTATAGTAAGGGTAATTTCAATTCAATGGTACAATTATTAACCAATTCCTACAAAATAGTCTCTGTGTGTGTATATATGTGAACAGTCTAGCTCAAAAATGAAGTCGTACAAAACTGAAATTGTGTATTTAAGGTTCTTATAAGCCTGAGATGTTACAACAACATTTTCGTCAAAATTGGCCAACTGAAAGTGATACTTTATATCATCGATTTAACACAGTTTTATGATTTTCTCAAAAACAGCTCTAACGATTAGTTTATTAGTGTATTATAAAGCAGTCTTTAATATGGTGTAGGTTTCGTTCTCATTGATGTTCTCTAACAGGGCTTAAATGGCTAATTTTCAATATTAACTTCCTCTAAAGTACCTTTTGTTTTTATTATTTGTAATAATTAACCATTCCTCATCAATCTTTGATGTAAAAAATAGTTCAATATAAAATATGAAAGAATTTGGTAATTAACTAAAGGAGAAATATGAGATTATAATGGAGGAACCACAGGAATATGAGTGCTTCCAAGCTCGCCCGAAAAATTAGAACAGTCTTCAATACATAACATGCTTAATGTAATACAGACTCCGATAATATTATTTGCATATGCAATTCTCATAAATGCTATTATTGGTATTATTTAATATTTAATTGTATAGATTACAGCAATATAAAAATCAAAATTTGTATAATTATGGGTAATTAAACAAACAAAAATACACACAATGAAATGTAAATAAATATAGTATCTATAATTTTTACTTTCACTTCCCCTTTGTTTGAAAATACTTATTTTTGCTAAGAAGGAGGTGATAAGTGAAAGTTGTGTGATGTGGACACCAGATTTTTATAACTGCATTATGATAGGCACTGAATGTTGGGCTAATTGTGATTGATTATGGTTTTTTAAAAGTTGATTAATCGATACCGTATAAAATACAATTAAGTCAGTTGGTTCCATTTAAGCAATAGAACTATTATTGATAGATCTTATATTAAAAATGAAATTTTTTTACAGGCACTAATTTACCAGTATTTGCAAAGTGGCCTGGTAACTCCTGGTTTTATCCTGGGATCATTGAAAATGCTGACGAGGACACTTGGCATACCAGCAGCCATTTGGAGGTCAAATTCTGTGACGGGACAGTGAGGAATACAAGAACTACTAACTTGTTCCCTGCTTATTTACTACCCACCAAAACTGAGGTTACTTATGAAAAAGATGGGAACAGTGAAACAATTATTATTACCTCAGTTAACAGGTTTGTTTTAATAAATATATATGATAATAAATAGCTATTTATTTACTCTCTGAAAATTATTTATGTCATTTTTTTCTTTCCGTAGTGTTAATAAAAACAAAATTTAAAATAGAGATAATCACTTTGAAGTCAATTCTGATCAAATAGATATGACTAACTTGGTAATAAGGATTTTAATTTCACCCATGGCATATAAACCGAAACGTTACATTCATTCATTACTGGGCTCTGTAGACCTTGAAGAATCATGGTTTACCAGAGGGCTCTCACTGTGAACTCTCTCCGAAGGTCTCGCGGAATTTCTCTTTTAGTAAAGGGATGCATTTATCGTAGATTTCCTTCTTTTCTCTTTCTACTTCACTGGTCTGATCGAGGTCATTGCTCTCTTTTCTAACAGTTGGATGTAAGACCATTGCTGCCTTTCTGGTCCTGGTGAATTTAACTGTGTCCGCACATCTTGTTGATCCATCACCATCAATACAATAGACCTCGTCGAAGCATGTGTATTCCCTTTCCCTAACAAGGATGCTCCTTCTCAAATCAATTCGAATTTGAACCTATAGTGCCGGTGTGTTATGAGGAGGGAGTTGTATGGGAAATTTTCTCTGCACAAGGGCTGGTGTTTTAGACTCTAGATTTTCTCTGCCGTATTTGTTATTCAGCCGTGAAAAAGATTCAGAAGAAAATAGAAGTTTTTGATGTCCAGAGAACCAAAATAAATGACCAACTGGCGTTGATGACCCTATAATATGCCCTTAAAGCACACATAAACAAGCAAATAAATCATGAACAAAATTAAAAAAAATTTATAACTAGATTCCTTAATGAAACAAAAATTATGTATGCAATATTGACAATTATTTATGAATATTCAGAAGAAATTTATTGTAAAATATAAATAATTTTTTCTCCTGTTCAACTAATAAAATAGTATTAAAGATTTTTCAATAGCAACTTTGGGATATTTATTCAATAAATAGGACTAGTTACTTTACTTTCTGGTCTCTGCTCTGGTTCCTCTAACAAATGAGCCCCCAAAATATAACTTATTGTATACATAAATTCTTAGTTAATCTATTAAAAAGTATTATTTCTTTTCTTTTTTTTTTCTAGGCTTCCAAATAATGAATTATTGCTGGTGTCAGAATCAGGTGAATCCACACCTTTCCAGAAAATCTGTTTCTCCAGTGCTCATTATAAAGAATTTCTGAAGGAAAATAGCGCTGTTCTAACTCCAAGAAAGACTCCTAAATTTTCCATTAGCATAGGTACTCGATCTTTTAACATTTAACAATTTTAAAACAATGTTATAATCTATACCTATACTTTATAATTATAAGATTGATTTATAAAAATGGAAAATTTCAATTAATCATCACTTGAATAGAAATTCAGACTATCACCAGTTGTTAACTCAAGGTCTGATCATTGAAAATCTATATATTAGAAAATAGGATGTTTCACTGTGAAGTAGTGTTAATTAAAATATTAAATATTTAAAAAGGTGTTAGATCTTCATTACTCAAGAATCACAAATAGGTTTTATGAATAAAGTTAAGTAACAGTTAAAAAAACAAATAAGTTTATTTATACCATGTTTCCAATTCCATGGCGAGAAGCAAGAAATTAAAAATTTTTGTTTCTTTAAGTGTCACATCTTTTTTTTTTTTTCTTTAGAAAACAATAAGTAAAATCTATTTAATTTAGATTATCATCAATAGCAGCACAATGAACATAAAAAAATTTTCATCAAAAGCAAGCAGAGGTTGTCTGTGTTAAAAAGCATTTGAAGAGGCTAAACTATGCTAAATTCTATTTGCCATAAAACCATTATTTATAATGATTTTCTTATCAGCCTCCTACTGGATTACAGATACACCACTTTTAGAAAAACTTTCTGTTTTCATTAGCTTTACCTCCATATTAACTACTTGATTTTGAAGTATTATTAAAGGATACTGTAAAAAAAAAAAATCCTTAACGTTTCCGATTACTCCAGCACTTACTAGACAAACGCTCTAAGCTTCTAGTTAATTACAAAAGACTCATAAACTTATAAGGCCTATTTGGACTTTCGGAGTTGAGCTATGGGACTCCACTAAACCATTGAATTCCTCTCGTATCCAATACAAAATCCTTCGTAAAATCCTCATTGCTCCCTACTTTGTTACAAATAAAATCATCCATAATAAACTTCAGAATCATCCCAACCCTCTCGTTTTTAACCTTACTTCCTCTTCAATTCCTGATAACCCTCCGAGGCTTCTGAACAGAAGATGGCCCCGTGATCTCCTAATGTAGACTATATCATTAGAGTGCTACCATTGGGTAGTTACTCAGCAAGTGTTTTCACGTCATTATATCCATATGTTCAAATTTACTAAATTTATTTCTCTAATACAGTTGTAAATATCATTAAGAAATAATAAAAATTAAAAAAAAAATATCATCTCTAAGTATCCTCTAATGCATACAAAAAGATATAAATAAAAATTCCTTAAAGGATATTTGAGTGGAAACTTAAGATTATCTAAAAGGTTTCAGATACTCTCAGTCTATTTCTTCATTGTTTTCATTATTTCGAGCCCTAGTTCTTTACTGGATTATGAGATTTTCACTAATTTATCTTTTATTATAATTTCAAAGTTAGTATTCTATTAAAACAAATCATAGTATTCAAAATATTATTGTATATTTTCTAGCTAATGTTCAGCAAGGCAAGCGAGCACGTAAGGTTGTTAGGACCGGAAGTTCTTGTAATTCTGAATCTAAACCTAAGGTAAGTTCAGTCATTTATTTTAATAATTAAGGGATTAACTTATTGAGCTATTCTTGTTTTTACTTTTATAATTTATTTACCGAATGCAAATTTTGTTTTAATAAATTCTTTTGCTTGTTTTTCCAGTTTAGTTCGTCTTCTAAGAAGACTCCTTCCTCTAGATTAAAAGTAACTAAAAGGGGAAGAGGTATAAGCGATGGGTCATCGAACGATTTGGCCAAAAGCGAAAAGAAAAAGATCAGGTTAGTTTCGTTCCTTCACATAATTCAATTTTTGGAATATCTTAAACTCTATAATTTTTGTAGCATAGAAGGAGAGGAATCAAATTGATATTGGTTCTGGTAAAACATACTGACAGAGGTATTTTTTGTTTATTTCTGACATAGGGGAGATTTGTTCTAGTGGTACAACTAAACCTATTTTAACCAGCTTGGAATTGAATTGGTGCCACTAGACTCGAGAATGCTAAAGCAGACAATGCTCTGACACGCTTATCCATCATAACCTCAATCAAAGTGTTAGTAGCTGTCAATATACTATTGATAGTGAAAGTGTTAGCTAATAGTGTTCAAGTTGCTTCCAGTGCTAAACCAATAGATTTAATGAAACTTGAAGTAACTTATATTATTAATAATAATAATAAATTTTATTATAGATTTAACACAAAATTCATGATAAGCCAAAAATTCCACACCAATAACAGGATCTGCATAAATAGAAAAACATTCCAGATAGTAGAAAAATTCAAATACCTCGGCTCCACAATAACCTCAATGAATGATCAATGGTCAGAAATAGACCCGTGTATAATGAGCGCAAACAGAGCCTTCTTCTCCCTCTCAAAGGTATTGAAATCCCAAAAAATCTCAGATTAAGGGTGTAGAATGCTATGATAAAACCAGTTCTAATATATGGCTGTGAGACCTGGACACAAAACAGCGCCCTTAAAAAAAAGCATTGAAAGATTCGATAGAAAAATCCTCTGCACGATAACCAGAGCGATCTGAGATCAGGTTACTAACATGTGGAGAAGAAAGACCAATAAAGAACTGCTTTCAGAAACTTCTCAATCAAGATCCCATGATATGAAGGCACAGAGGTTAAGATGGATGGGGCATGTAGCTCGTAGCAATCCATCTGGAAGCCTCTACGTAACAATGAATGCCTCAATAGAAGGAAAAAGACCACGTGTAAGGCCAAAAATTGGATTGATAGATGAAATCAACTAAGATGCAATAGAGCTACGTGTTGATAACTGAAAAGAAATTGTCCAAGACAGGCAGCGATGGAGCAGAAGGCTTGTTAAGGTGTCAAAAGATCTACATGATCTGTAATGCCAATAGAAAAAAAAAATTAAATTTTAGATTTAACATGAATTAATGAAGTTTATGTTTAAACAAAGTTTTTTTTTTAATCTCTTTATTTCTTTTTACATTTTTTTTTCCTCCCCTACCTAGCCTTTTCAACTTTACAGAGCTTTTCAAGCCAGAAGAAAGGAGGGGGGGAGGGGGGAGATCAATGTCAGAGTTAAAAGTCCCCAGCACCAGAACTTGAACTCTTAATCTTCAGTTCACGAGGTTGCAGAGCAGCCTGCTCGGCCATTCTATCCCCTAATTTATTTACACCTGTCAACTGTTGTCTGTTGTCAATCAGCAAATGAGCCGACTATTCAGGAAATAATGACATGTCTGATAGTACCCAGTAGCACCTCTTCTCTGGTTTGATTCAATTCCTTTTGTTTATGAAAGAAGATCTCTCATCCAGATCCTTTTTCATCTCCTCCTATTCAGAAGTATGTCAACTTTAGCCATGTCCCTTATCAAATTGTTGGTATGTTCATTTAAATTTCTATAAAATCATTGGTAAAGGATGGTTATGGGTTGATGAATTGTTGCCAGTTGGAAATCAGTATGTTAATGTCCATTAGTCACGTAGTAACATGCTTTTGTTATGAGTTGTAATAATTTTTATTAAAATGCTTAAAATTTTTGTTGACTCTTTTTGGCGATACTTATCTCTGCCAAAAGTATAAAAAAATAATTTGATAATATGCGATAAGTAATTTAGTTACTTATTTAATTCAATTGTTATTTTTTTTAATTTGTTTAAACACATTCACTAGAGGAATGGAGTAGCTCAATGAGTTAGGTACTAGGCTGCTAAGCTCAAGATCCTGGAATCTAATCCAGCTGATGTCAAGTAATATTTCATCAGCTGTGGATCGACCCTGGGGTCTGGAGATCCTCCTGACATACACCCAGCCTCTATAAAGTGGGTACTCTTTATTAAATATTTAATTAAGGAGGAAAACCTAGTGGTTGAGCATGATCCTGGTCCGATCACATCTATGTGCAATCATTGACCTTGAAACAGTATTTCCTAAAAAAGTACCGAACCCAAAGCCCTTCTTGGGCTGTAATTACAGGGTTTTTTAAGCACGTTAAGTATGTTTTATTATGGTTATACCATCAAATGATTCCATTCTCATTAAAGCGGTGGTGGATAAATTTGGTGATTTCCTTTTTCTCTTATCAGCATTAAACCTGGGCTCCATTGTATGTTCAACATATAATATACTTTTATTATATATATTGTTTCTTTTAATGATAAATTATTTTTTTATTATTTAAATAGGATTTCCAGCCAAAAGAAATCTAACATTGAAGCGAAAGTTAAAGAAACGAGTACGCCTCATATTGGTGAGTAATATTTATTTCCGTAATGTGTTGCTCTTGTGAATTACTTGCTATACAAATTTTGTTCAAATTAAGACGAGTCAAGTGTGGGTTCTTAAATATTTAAAATATTTAATATTAGGTAATTTTAGACTGTTTATATGTTCTTATAAGTTCAGGATTTTTTACCATTAACAGTCTCTATTGAATTTTAAAACTATATTTTTTGAGTAGCTTTCGGTGTCCATGCACCATATTCATCTCTGTAATTATAATACTTCAATTAGGATAAAGTTTTAAATCATAATAGAGACGTTCGATGGTAAAAAATCCTGAACTTATAAAAAAAACTATCTAATATTGGATGAAGCTTGTATTAATTATGTTGTTTATTAAATTATTATTAGTGCAGTATTTGGAGGAAAAGTTTTCTATTTTACTTTTAGTTGCAATATTTAAAAATATTAAATCAACATGGAACTGCAATATATTGCGATTCCTGCCATTCCCCGCTAACCATATAATAGATAAATAAAGCATATAATAGAAGATTGTACATTACTACATCAAGCCGTTGTAAAAACAAAATACCCCGTTGTAGAGAAATAGCATTAAAAGACTAAGTAAATTCAGTAGAAAATATTATAAAACTTTTAAAACAAACACAATTGTACCATAGAATATAACAATTAAAGAAATACATAAAAAGAAACTTTTTATTTATTTTTTTTTTTTCATTCATAATTTAAGATAAGTTACAAATAATAACATCATAGTTCAAGGGCGTGCGTAATAACCAAGTTTTTGATCGCCTAGGACAACTTGTAACCTAACCTCAAAGTGGAACTAGAAATAATAAACTATTTCTTTTAAAATTCCAAAACATATTTTATAATAAAATTTATACTTTACCTTGTAAAAATTACAATTGTTTTTATGCAAAAAAGTAACATTTTTACTTTCCTACCTATTAAGGAATTAAGGAAAGTATTGCGATTGGGTCAAATTTCCTGTGTGCAGTTTTCGACGGATATGCAGGTTTCAGAGCCCCTGAGTCCGAAAAATACATTTTCAGCCATTGGTCTATCTCTCTGTGCCAAGATTATCTCGGGAACTAGTTGACCGATTTTGTTGCTTCTTTTATTATTTTGTAGAGTTTTGATTACTGATGCCTGTGTCACAAATTGGGCCCTCCGTGCGTAATAACAGCTGTGCAATAAATTAAAAACATATTTCTCTATAGATTGTAGTGCAAAAACGACTCTAATTATTTTGATAAAACTTTCGTATAATTTTCTAATTAATGTCCTTTCAATTTTCGTACATGTACTGAATTCCCGAGAAAATCCAGGAAAAAAGTTATAAAGAAAAAAAAATATTTTGGGCCTAACTCTCCAAGTATATATTCTATGGTAAAATTATATACGAACTTTTGAAAAATAATTAAATTATCTACAAAAAAAAAAATTCATCAGAATTGATCGCAGTATTAGCAATTATACAGTGTATTCTATTTTCTACACTACATATGTTTCAATTTATTACTTTCCTAGTTATACTAGGTAAGGAAAGTACTATGATTGGGTCAAATTTCCGATGTGCGGTTTTTGACGAATGAACACATTTTCACCCTGTTTTTTTCTAAAGGTGATGGAATTCCCTACAAAACTATATAAAAATAATACATTTCGGACATCTATCATTAAAGATACAGCTATTCCATTTGTTATGTAAGATTATGAGTTAAATTCCCAGTGCCTGAAAGGATAGAGAGAAAAAAGAAAAGAAAGTGAAAGTAAAAAAAAATCTAGTACCCGCATCACACAAGTTTCACTATTTCCTCTATTTTTAACAGAAATAATTGTATGACAAAATGAGAGGATGGCAAAATGTTTTTGATTAGCAATATTAGAGGGTATTGAATTTTTCACACTGCTTTAGTTTATCAAAGAAATTGTATTCAAATCTTTTCTTTGGTCTATTTTCAGTAAATTAAATCTAATTCAATTTGTTTTTTGTTTCTTAATGGTCATATTCAAAGATATGAAAACTTTTCCGAAATAGGTAGGAAAGTCCTGTGAGTGGACACACCAGATTTTTTTTTTTTTAAATACTTTATTAATGCAATTGATATATCTTTACAATTCAATGTTATAATGCCTGTTTAGTTAAATGTCTTAAAAAATCTAAATTTTTATAGAAGTTGAAACTGAAAAAAAAGAAGTTGTCAGAAAACTATGCTTAGAGGCGGAAACTCCTGGTTGTTCTTATAAAGATTGCAAAGATACCCAGAAATTGGACTCTTCTGAACATTCACTCAGTACTGATACCGAATCGTCAGGGTAACAAAAACTTTTTTTTTTTCATAATATGATTTCATATGTTTCAATGAACTACATGAATTATTCTCTGTTTGAAGGATTCAAAAAATAGTTGTGGATGAAATATCTTGTCCGACCTTGGATGAAGAATTGATAATCGACATATCGAGGAGATCTTTTAGAAACAAGTCTAGCTGGAAGAAGACGACTGGATGTAAATTGAATCATTTATTAAATCTTTGGTTGATTGTAGCAAATAATTGAAGAGAAGTTTGTTTAAGTTTTCATTCAAAATTCAAAGTATAAATAAATTATATTTATTTTTGTTCCGACGTTTCAGGCCTTTATCAATGCTTAGCAAAGATGAGATAACATAATGTAAATGATGAGAAATTATTTATAAAAATAGATAGGTAAAAACTAAATATAAATTAAAGAAGTATAAAGTAACGATATCAAAGCAGGGACTTTTAAAATAGCGGTAGCAAAGTTAGGATATATAAAATAATAGTAACATTCACAATATTGCTTCTATTCTTCGGTGCATACTATTTATTTTCAAGCTTTATCAGCCATTTTACACCAAATTTCAAAATTTTGTCAACTTAATGACTACACATGTAATTACGACGTTTCCGCTCGTTGAGCCATTTTCAAGTCTAAAAAATTTTTTACAATTTACAATCATATTTAAAACGTTACATACTTCAACATATAGACATTATTTTTACATACCTAAATACCAATCATGTACCTGTCCTTTTCACTTATGCGAATTGCATGCGTCTACTCATAATAAAAATTTTATTTTCGTCATGTCCACCTTTAATTATTTTATAACATTATTATTACTCGAATATTTCTTATTAAATGATTCAAATAAAGTAAAATTACCTTATCATTAGCATAAAATTAGCTAGTTTTACTTAAAATAGGTCCACATATAATATTGGGAAACATCATTTTATATGTTTAAAATAGTCTTCCCCTACTCCTTTAAGAATAACCAGTCACTGAATAGAAATGAGACTGATGACATGTCGTGACACATGATAAGGTAATTTTACTTTATTTGAATCATTTAATAAGAAATAATTGAGTAATAATAATGTTATAAAATAATTAAAGGTGGACATGACGAAAATAAAAATTTTTATTATGAGTAGACGCATGCAATTCGCATAAGTGAAAAGGACAGGTACATGATTGGTATTTAGGTATATAAAAATAATGTCTATATGTTGAAGTATGTAACGTTTTAAATATGATTGTAAATATTAAAAAAAAAAATTAGACTTGAAAATGGCCCAACGAGCCGAAATGTCCTAATTACATGTGTAGTCATTAAGTTGACAAAATTTTGAAAATTGGTGTAAAATGACTGATAATAAATAAACTTGAAAATAATAGTAACAATGTTTGAGACTTATGAAATAATGTAACAAACTTAAGTTATAAAATAAATGAAGTTGGAAGTTATAAAATAAATATCTATCTTTATATACAATTTTACATTATTTATATTTAATGTAATCTTGTCTTTGCTTAGTCCTGAGGAAGGTGTAATACTTAGACCAAAACGGCGGCACAGAGGGAATAAAAATAAATATAATTTATTTATTTTCAAATTGTATTTTGACTGAAAACCCCAACAAACTTCTCTTTATTAATTCTATTCTTTGATGATTATCTATTTTTATTAATTTTGTAAATTATTATTCATTGATTTAGATGTTCCGAAGTATGAAGACAATAGATTAGGCCCACTTCCAGAAATGGAATGTTTTTCAAATTATAATTTTGTTTTGACTCATTCAAAAAAGAAGTTGAAGCCAATACGGAAATCTTCAGAAGAGGAAACATTTAGTGAAGAAGGAACTGATTGTAAGTTAATTTATTTTAGCTATTATAGAAATATACAAATAGTATTTATAGCTATTATATATATAAGTATCCTTATAAATATATTTGAATACTAAATAGTTGACCGTCGCATTATTGAGGAAGGAGATGGGTGGCGGTCATAAATAGACTAAATAGTGGCCGAACTATTTTTTTAAAAGTCAACGTTTCGACCCGACTTTGCAGGTCTTCTTCAGGGCTAGAACAGATGAGATACAAAAAGATATAGAGAATTGTGTGTTACATCATATTTAGATAAAAAATCTGGTGAGGGCAACACACAACTTTCACTTAGCGCTCAACTTTGAATAGAAATTATTTTTGGCCATATCGGGCTATTATAAAATTTTTGAATTGCATTTCTAACTGAGCTGAAGCTAAAAAATTATAGCTAACAAATCATAAATACCATTAAAATAACCAAAGTCCTATTTATTAACTTATATTTATTATAAGGTTGATTATGGATTGTACGATCCGTTGATCATGTATTGCACGATCAATTGATTATGGATTGTAATAAAATTATTAAACTACAGTAAATATATTTAAGGTTATAAACATATGCATGAAATGATTTTATATTTTACTTCTTCTTTCACACAAGTACAATGAAATAGTTATTTAAACAATGTCATTGCCTTTATTAGGTGGATTTTAAATGTTCCTTTCAAACTTGAAAATATTTTAAAAGGTTGCATTTAGTTAGTAAATCTCATTTAATTTCCTTGGAAACATGTGATTTACGTTAAATATTATTAGTTTTCAAGAAATATTATTTATAATTTTGCTAATCTTCACTTCCTTTTACAGCTTTCTATATTCGATATTGTTTTTTCTAAAATTCTCCGCTTTCCAACGATATATCATACGTATATCTTCGGACTTGTATTTCCAGAGATTCATTTTCAACTTGGATAAGCATTTTTATTTTTTTCTCCTTTATTCAATTATCAAATTCTTTCAAAAGTTATATTTAGTTTTTTTTTCATAACTTTTAATAATGATAGATAATTGATTATTTGAAATAAACCATATTAAAGGTACTTTAGAGGAAAACGCATATGAACATTGGGCATTTAAGCCCTGTAAAGTGACATCAAAGGGGATAAGACCTAATTGATATTAAAGACCACTTAATTATACAATGATACACCGAATATTAAGAACAATAAGTTGTATAAACAGAGTAAGCAAAGTAACAAGATCCTAAACTGAAGTAAATAGAGGGTAACAATTGTTGTAGTATAATAAAATATAATATATGCAATAGTTAAGATACTCCTACAGATCTACAGAAGAGATTGGAAGAAAAGGAAAAAGGATATAGTATGAAATAATGGAAATTTTTTTTTCTTCTCTTTCTCCACATCCCTTTATTTCCATTATTTCATATTATATCCTTTTTCCTTTTCCTTTCTATCTCTCCTGTAGATCTTTAGGAGTATATTTAAAATTGCATATATTATATTTTATTATAAGACAACGATTGTTACCATCTATTTACTTCAGTTTAGGATCTTGTTACTTAGCTTATTCTGTTTATACAACTTATTGTTCTTAATATTTTAATGTACTTACTGTTTATAATTTTAATAAGTTTATTCACATTGGTTATAATTTTTTATCTGAATATGATGTGACTATCACAATTCTCTACATCTTTTATCTTGTATCTCGTCCGTTGTAGCCCTGAAAAAGACCTGCAAAATCGTGTCGAAACGGTGGCTTTTAATAAAATAGTTTGGCCACTATTTAGTCTATTTATGACCGCCACCCAGACCATATCCTTCCTTAATAAATATTTTTCTATTAAAAAACTTTGACTTTAAAAAATCTTTGTTGTTTAAAAATAAAATTTATTGTATATCCCATTTTCTCAGTCAATCTTCCATTTTTATTTAATTAAGGTAATTCTAAACCTATCTTCTTTATTTATTAGTTGAAGATTATTATGAAACAAAGGTTCCTTTTGACTACCTTTGGTTGAGGGAACAGATTTTGTCAGGAGGAGGAAAAGTATTCAAGAGCTTGCTAGATGTTCACAAAGAAGAATATTCTAACACCATTGTCATAGCTGACAATATTTTTGAAACACCAAATTACTTATTGGCAGTATCTCTTGGGATTCCCATTTATAGGCACGATTTGATTATTGATTGCTGTATTAAGGTAAGATGTTATTTGCTTCTTTATTATCTTTAATTATTATTGTATACATAGTTTAGTCTTGAAATTACTAATATAGATGACAACCGAAACTCATGGGTTATCATCAGGGTTAAAAATTAAAAATATAAAATAACATCTGAAAAATGATAAGTATAAAAATATAAGAGAAGAAAAAGGCGAAACGTACAAATGAGATAACAGTTTTATAAACATAAAAATAATAAAACATTGAATTATGCTAATTATTATGTTTTTGTGTTATAAATAAATGAAAAAGACAAGTATATTATAAACATTATTAATATTTTTGGTGATTTAAATAATACAAAATTATTATTTGAATAATTAATGGATATACAAATAGTAATAAAGTGTGATACCTATTGATTATAAAATGCTAAGATGAAATGACTGGTTCTTTGACGTCTCTATTTATTCTTTTAGCAGGCTCCGTTCTCTGTACTTGTTTCTGCTGGTAAGTTAGCGCTTAAATTTTTGCTACATCTATAGAAGCATTTTCTAGAAATTACGGACAAGCCATTTTACTAATAATAATGATAGAAAAATTAAGTAGAATTTTATTTCATTAATGCATTATTAATAAAACAAAACAATGAAAAGAAATTCATTACACTGTGCTTTTAAACCTGTATTTATGGTGTCTGGTGCCATGATAAATTTAAACCTCACCACAATATTGTCTATAACGCCTCATGTGAAGAGAATAGCGCCAGTGTTTTTTTTTTATTTAAAAAAAAAATCGTAAGGCCTGATTTTACCTCTTTAAGTTAATTTGGAAAAATAATATAATTTAATTTTAGTTTATATTTTAAATTTGTACTTTTGCTATTGCTTATTTGCCTACTTACCATAAAAAATCTGGTGAGCGCATCACACAATTTTCACTTACCATCCTCTTCTTAGCAGAAATAAGTATTTTCAGACAAATCGAAGCGAAGGTAAAAATTACAGACTATATTTATTCATGTTTCATTGTGGGTATTTTTATTTGTATAATTACCCTCATATATACAAATTTTAATATTTATATCGCTATAATCTATACAATTAAATATTAAATAATAGTATTTATGAAAGCCGCATATGTATATTTACATAATATTGTCGGAGTCCATATTATATTAATCTCATGGTACGCATGAAAGCGTGTTCTAATCTTTCGGGCGAGCTTGGGTGCGCTTGTCTTCCATGTTTCCTCAATTACAATTATTCTCCGTTACGATCTCTTATTTCTCCTTTAGTTAATTATAAGATTCTTTCATATTTTATATTTAACCATTTTTCATATTAGAAATTAATGTGAAATGTTCAATTGTTTGAAATAAAAAAAAAATTAAAGGTACTTTAGAGGAAGCTAATATTGAAAATTAGCCATTTGAGCCCTGTTAGAGAAAATCAATCAGAATAATAACCACATTTTATTTAAAACTGCTTAATTTTACACTGATATGATGAACTTAAGCAAAATTCCAATTCCAGTTAGCCGATTTTGACGAGAAAGTAGCTGTAACATCCTTAGCATATAAAAACCTTAAATATGTAATTTCACTTCTATATGACTTTTCGTTTTTGAGCTAGACTGTTAACACATACACACACACACAGAACATTTTGCGGAACTTGGTTATTTGGACTCAAGGGACCTCAAAACGTGTATATCTGTTGAAAACTCTGATTCAAAAATTTTCACGATCACAATACTTGCCCTTAATATATATTACATACATATACGTCAGTGAAAGTAAAATTATATTATTTCTAATAAAAATGTTTTAAATTGTCAATTTACATTAAATGATGAATAATAATAATATCATTGATATGATTCATAAAATATAATTTTAATCTGTCAGTTTGTATTTTCTTACCATTATTTGTTTCTTGTTTCTGTATGATGGACAAATTGTAATTCCCTTAGGTGTCGACTACAGATATATTTTATTGAAATTGTAATTTATATTAAAAATTGATTAATTTTTATTCTATACGTAAAATACTTTATCTTTGAAGAGATTATGTCTCATTTTACCAATTTATATTTGTTACAGAAAAAGCATTTGAAAGATGTGATAAGTCATGCCATGAAAATGCCTAATGGAAGATCGTTAGACTCAGGTGAGTGGGTCGAAACGTCGGCACGTTGTTCCTTAAAGGGCTATTGCTGTCTTTTATCTCTAAATGTGAATCCTAGCACTTTAAAATTTTGGAAAAAGTTACTGCTAAATGCTGGTGCAGTAGTGATAGAGGGCGATTTAATAAAAATTAGTAAGTAATATAAAAGTAATTAGTAAGATAATAGAAATAAATAAAATAGTAATAAAAGTAATTGGTAATAATTATAAATGAAAAAGTAGTGTTATGAAGATTATCCTTAATTAGAAATAGCCAAATTAACCTGTACATTAAAATTGATTAAGGCCTAGAAATAATTGAAGAGTATTCTATTCAGAAATAAAGAATTTTTTGACAAATTAAAATTCTACGTCTAAAAATTATTTAGTTTGTTCAAAAATTAATATTTTTCCCTACCACAACTTACCTTCTTGACTTATCTTCATGATATATCCCCATTATAATTTTCCAAAAGTGGATACATTGACTTTTGATAGAAAGCCATCAATTGTTTTTAATGAATAGTATAATAAAATCTTTGATTTCAATTATATCAGTTACCATTGCATCCCGTGAAAAACTTTTACATATGCCATCAATATATAATAAATATACTATTTTATTAAATATACATAAATATAATATAGTATTGTATATATTGACCGCACCTCCGACTACCTTCTTCCTAATTTAAGATTAGTGTTTTGTAAAGTTTAATTATTATAATCTATTAATTGTAATAATGTATTAGAGCTATTTTAGATTTGATTTAAGAAAAATAAAACATTCTAATTTTTCAGTTTCAGAACAGCAGAGCCGTATCAGTTTCATCATTGGTGATCCATCTCTTCCCGAAGAAATACTTATTCTTGCAAACTGCTACCAAATACCTACCGTCTCAACCATTTGGCTTTCTCAGAGTATTATTCAAGGCAAACCTAGAAGTTATAATGCCCACCCTGAGTACGATATTTATTATATTGCATCCTGAGAACTGGGCCCAACACTTCTGAAAACTTATACTATAGTATTGCCGTTTGCTTGAAAAGTATTTTAGTATTTGAAACGGGTATTTTATATAATATAACTGCCTCAGGTTATACGGGATGCTAAAAGAATCTTTTGCTCAACTTTATATATGTATATATATATATATTTTTTGTCTCTCTTGGATATTAAATACTCCAAAGTATTGTTAGGTTATTGCCATATTTTGGTAAAAGTGACTAATGTGAAACAATCATTTATTAGGTTTGTTAAAGCAATCCATGACATTATTCTTTGTTTTTTATATATTTTGTCAATTTTTTTTTAAAATTTTAGTTAGAACTTTTATTCAGGTAGTCCTGAATAATTATATATACAGTCATTTTTCTTAATTTGGTTTTAGTTAAATTATTTCATATGATTCCCCTTCTTATTACTGTGATTATATATGAACGCGAGATAATCTTATAATTTTAATAGTTTCTCTAAAGTATTGACGTCTTATTTTTTCTTGACTTTCCTTTATTGAAGGAATCGTTAATAAATTTCAGTTCCTGAGAACTTTGTATAGTGCTGAAAACATAAAATATTTTCTTTTATAATTGATTCGTTTTCAATTTTTTTTTTCTTTTATGAATAATTTTGAGTGTGTCCCCCTCCCCCGTCATTGACTTATTTACAAATAATCGTACAGATCTACTTCATAATTATGAGCAGTAGAATTAAATCCAGGACTGCCTGTATTAAAAGAATTATTTTTTTATATTTATTTTCCAATGAGCATTAAAATCAATCATATAAAATATATTATTCTATTTTGTATTAAGTACCGTGTTATACTTTTTTTTATATATATAGTTCAATAGAATCTCTTATATTTGTAAATGAGACAAATTAATCCAAATATGAAAGTTATGAATGTTTATATAAATTATTTATTGATTGTTATTTAAATATTTTTGGTTCTCTTATGGTGCATTTATTTTAAAAAAATCTATTTACTATTTTTGAAAGTTTATGGACAAAATAGATTATAATTGTGCAATTAATGTAATAAGATTCAAATCCTATTCCATTGGCCAGTATTTGTGTGGCCTAATAAAAAATTGTTCTGTTTTTTGTTAAAGAATTATTGTGAGTTTTTTTTTGTTGTTTTTAGAGAGATATTAATATTTATAATATTAAGTTAGACATATGTCAGATTAATATGTCGAATGTGAATTTTTTTATATTGTTTTATTAAATAAATTATATTTTTGCCTGGACATTGCCTCAAAATAAATTTGACTTTTTCTGTGTTCCAGTGGATAGGGTCAGTAAATAGAACTCCTAAAACCTATAGTTATTACTGTTTTGTTTTTTATAATATAGGTTATTATTTGAAGGTCCCAAAGGAAGAAAAGTCTCTTAAATGGTAGTTATTAAGCAACTGATCAATCAAGCCGTTATCAGGACCGAAAATTAAATTTATACATTTTAGAGATAATAAATACCATTTCAATAGACAAAAGATAAACTTTTGTTCTTAACACTGCTGTTGAATATTACATTCTGCCACATTATAGGATATTGGTTACAGTCAGCATTCAACAATTAAAGAAATAAGTGATTAAAAAATGATAACTAAATATCAATACTTTAAAAAAAAAGGAAATAAATAGTAATACAATAGTAACAAAGTGATAAAAGTTATTAGTGATGATAAAAGCGAGAATGAAAACCAAAATAATAAAATTAATAAAGAACCGAATTTAATAACAAATTATTTTAAAAGTGAAAATACAGTAAAACAAACACCTTCCATGAACGATATACATGACATTAAAACACAAAATGAAAAATATAATAAAAACAAACAATAACCTAAAAAATATTTTAGCGTCACGTATATCAGAAATTTAACGGATAAAATAGAAAGAACATTTAAACAATATGATGTAAATTAAATTAAATTTGCAATCTAACCGATTAATAAAATAGATACAATTTATTCCAAAACTAAAGATAAAATACCCACCGATAAATTAACGAATATTATTTATAAAATAAATTGTAAAAGTTGCAACAACAAATCATATTTTGGACAGACATCACAATGGTTTGAAAAAAGACTTAAACAGCACAAACAAAATTGTAATTCAAAAAATTAAATTAGCTACTGGACTCTCTCAGCATACTATGCAAATAAAACATGAATTTGATTTCAAAAACGCCAAAATCCTGCATAATGAAAATAATACGAATAAACATAGAATAAAGGAAGCATCAATATACATAGCTAAAAATTTAAAAAACCCGGTAAATAATCGTACAGATGTGGATAATATGAATACATTTTACGTGATTTCAATTGAAAAAATATAAATTTGAAATGAATTAGCTAATTTTACTTAAAATAGGTTCACATATAATATTGGGAAACATCATTGTATATGTTTAAAATAAATAGTCTTCCCCTACTCCTTTAAGAATAAACAGTCACTGAATAGAAATGAGACTGATGACATGTCGTGACACATGATAAGGTAATTTTACCTTATTTGAATCATTTAATAATGTTATAAAATAATTAAAGGTGGATATGACAAAAATAAAAAAAATTATTATGAGTAGATGCATGCAATTCGCATAAATGAAAAGGACAGGTACGTGATTGGTATTTAGGTATATAAAAAGGATCTCTATATGTTGAAGTATGTAATGTTTTAAATATGATTGTAAATTGTAAAAACATTTTTAGACTTGAAAATGGCTCAACGAGCCGAAACGTAATTAGATGTGTAGTCATTAAGTTGACAAAATTTGCTGATAATAAATAAACTTGAAAATAAATAGTAAGCACCTAAAAAGAATTGGAGAAATATTGGAAATAAAAATATAAACTTAATGATGAATAACAACTTAAACATAAACATATCTATGTATAATAGTCTATGGTAAAGACCCCTTTTTATATAAATTATTAACATTCCTGAATAGCTTCATCTCATCATAACCTACACCTTTTTTATTTATGAAAATTCTCAGAATTGGGGCGTTCTCTTCTGGAGATCGGCAAAATTTGACTATTCTTCTTCTTTTACATTCTTCACTGAGATAGCCAGGTCGGGAATTAAAATGAAGAATTTCTAAGGTCCTCCAGGCTTCCATAAAGTTTTATTTTTATCTCAGTTGGAGAGGGCCAGATCAGACTCCTTTGCTGGGAATAGATCTTGCACATTTGCAGAGGGTGCTTGAGCCAATTTTGGGCTTTCTGAATAGGTGAGCTTTGAGCCTATTGTGAACCATTCATAGGCAGAAGATTAGGACCTGCTGTTGTCGATTCAGTTCCTGGATAACTTCAGTGGGATTATGATGTGGATGGCTTTTAATCCAATGTTGATTAATGTTGGCTTTGTTAAGAATTTTTACCTCATCCAGACTGAGTTCACAGTCAAACTGTTCACTTTCATTTCCATAGACACTGCAGTGTTTAGGGATCCATTGCTTTGAGTATTTAATGAGGTATTAAAAACTCGTGAACAATTAGTTTTCCACTTGAATAGTAATATAATTTGATCACCAATTCGAGAATAAAGGTGACCTACAAAATTATTGGACTGTTGGGCGCGACCTCCAATTCCAACATGTGAAAATAAAGAAGTTATATAGGCCAAACGACCCAATATTTTTGTAAGTCACCCTTTTTTTTCAAATTATCTAACAATTTAAGTGAAAGACAAATGGAGTTTTCGGTAACAAATTAGTTTAATGGGAAAACACCCCCATATCTGAGAATTTTTGTAGATAAAAAATTTGTTGGTACGATTAGACGAAGCTATTCACGAAATTTTAGGCGGATGTAAATAATTTGTTAAAAGGAACTGACTATAATATCATGGACTATTATATTTTCAATCAACCAGGAAACTCCAAACCAGGTTTAACTGTGGCATTAATTCCTGAGCCTGAGAAAAACCTCATATACCCATAGTTTAAAAGACTAGGAAGGGAAAGAAAGAAAAAAAAAAAAATGTTTAACTGGCCCTTGAAGGCCATGTGATTACAGTGAGTAACTGTATATGAGTTATGATTAATAAAAAGGTCTTATTGTGATTGTTTAACTATTTAGCTTACTCCAATTAACACGAAGAAACAAATATGAACCAATGAAAAGAAATTGATTTTTCTATTTTGGGGCACTACTACAGCCCAGGGGAATATTATTTCGTATTACGGATGTTTTGTCGGAAAGAGTCTTCAGTTATTCTTTATGAGCACTGAAGAACAACTATACTGATTCATTTTGTATCTATTGCTTTTTATAATGATTTCGCCTACAAAAAAAGATGTGAATATTTTCTCTAAACATATTGTTAGTGGGATGTGATTGATCCGGAATATAACAATTTTATCAAGAAAATAGTGATTGAAAAGCTAACCCAAAAATATGAAGTATCCGTAGAGTATTCATTCATTCATGTATGGCACAACATCCCGTTACCGAGACTGGGCCTCCTCCAAGAGCCTCCGCCAGTTGGCTCTGTCTTCTGCTGCAGCTCTCCAGTTCCGCACACCAAGCAGGGTTCTCGCATCATAGGCCACGTTTTCCAACCATCTCGTCCTCGGCCTTCCTACCCGTCTTACGAGGTGCAGCTCCTCCATCATTATTTTTTTTGGTATTTCAAGGGTGCTCATTCTGGCCACATGCCCTGCCCACCTTAGTCTGGCCAGTTTAATATACGTGACTACGTCGATGTCTGCATAGAGAGAACTGAGCTCCCTATTTTTTCTTTTCCTCCAGACATCACCCTCCTTTACTGGACCATAAATCCTTCTGAGGACTCCTCGCTCAAAGACACTCAGCTTCATCTCATCCCTTTTAGTCATCGTCCAAGCCTCTGAGCCATATGTCAAAACAGGCCGAACAAGGGTCTTGTATATGATCAGCTTGGTCTTCTTTGGGGGTACCTACTTCTTAAGTGTCGGCCAAGTCCAAAGACACATCTATTGGCAGCCGTGATCCTTCTTTGTATTTCTTGAGCCATGTCATTCTTGCTATTAATTTCAGACCCAAGGTATCCGTAGAGTATACAAACAAATTATTTGAAAATCACTTATTGCCGGAAACATAAAAAAATTAAAAAGCAAGTAAGTTGGCACTTAACGACTTTCGCAAAATCTTTATATACTTTGCTCAATATCTCCTTTGTTTCTTTTCATTACAGCAATTCTAACAAGATCAGCAACATTAGTGTTGAAGTTTTTCTAAGCCTAAAATATAATCAGTTATAAGTAAGACCTGAATTAATACGCAACAAAAAACATTGAAATGAACGATAATATTCTGAAAGAAGGAAACAATGAGCCCTAAATACATGAGGCAAACAAAAGATTTTTTAATTTAACTATTAGGGAATGATTTAATTGATCATATTTACAGTTTTTTATTATTTTTAAAGTTAGTTTTAATTCTAATAGCAACATTAGCTAAATATTTTGAGCTCAGTAAACATGTTTTTCAATGTAGTTTTCTGTGTAACTGAATCGTTTCTTTTTTAATTAATATTTATATACAGAATAGAACCTTTCTTTGTTTATAACTGTTAAAGGAGAATTAAAAAAAAAACTATAGTTCGAGTGCAATTAGTTGGCAGACCAAGGGCCAACTCATGGGACACAAAGTTCAAATTCACACTTTTTCTGTTTTCTTTAACCCTCCGATATTACTTCTAATTTATTTAATTTCAGAGGGTTGTGGTAAAAACAATAATTGAGATGATTAATTTGAGGTGAATTAAATGGGGATGCAAAATCGCTGGGCTTAGTAACGAAAGAATTCCTAAAAAATTAATATGAGCTTTACTGACTGGCAAGCGTCCGAGGGGTAGACCAAAGCGAAGGTGGGAAGATTCCGTTAAGACTGATTTGGTGGGGTTGGGTTTAGACGGAGCCCGGTGGATGGAAGAAAGTGGACATCGATTGGTGGTATCAGCATGAACCTTCGGGTTCGCTAAGCCTTATTATTATTATTATGGAAAAAACAAAAGTAAGTTTTAACTTTGTGCAGCATGCATTCTTCTTAGGCTGCCAATCAATTGCATTTGAATCACAGGAAATTAGTTAATAATTTTTTTAATACCAGTTGGAAATTTGCTTATTTTAACATGCACAACACCATATAATTTTCCTTCCTTTTTTCCTTTCTGTAGTAGAAATCTTTTTATAACCAGTATTTAGTAACATGACCCAATGAACTACTTTTAAACAAAACGAAAACTTTGCTTTTAGCATCAT